AAAAAAAAAAAAAATTGATGCGTAGAAAAGCTCGAGCGTATGGAACAATTTGATATGTAATTTGTGGAAAATTACGCAGTTTTAAACGACCTCGACTCGAAACGTTCCTCGAGTCGTTGCTTAGAAGGTCATAATTTGCATCATAGCGTAACGGGCTTCGTGCACACTTTTAGCTATATCTTTTTTCCCTTCGGTGAATTCTTTTTCATTTCTCCAATTTAAAGGGAATAATTTGTATACCAAAATTATGCAATTAAAATTATAGTTTACCGTGTTCGTTTAAGAGCTAAAGACCATTGTACCTTTTTGCATGGTCTATTGAAAAAAATCAAAAACATTACCTAGTTTTCGGAATACGCGCGCACTTATTCGCCTGATTTTTATGCGCAGCACAGCATGCGCAATGTAATATTGAGGAATCATCTTAGACACAGAAATATCAGGAAAAACTGTCCAGCTCCAGGACAGAGGAGGGATCGAGGAATAGAGAGTCCGAAATGCTCACAACTCCGCCACACTTGTCCCCGTGCATACTATGACGGTTTACAAAGTACTAATTGGGATTTCACCTCATTTTATAGAGGCAAAAACCAGCCGAGTGGACCATCTAAAAACCTGACGGAAATATACGTCAAAATGTTCATGTCCTTTTGTCTTCTCAATCATCACTTCTTGGAATTGAAGTCAACTTTCCGTTTCCCCACCTCTCGAACCCTTCATACCCTAACATCAGTGTTCATATTAACCACACTGTTCTCTAGTTTCTCAGGTGTTGACAAGGAGAGTTTGTTTGAAAATCAAGACCTTCTTTAGTCGGTCATCATTCTTTTACTCTCGTATGTGTGATCTAGGGATGACAGTGTGAGGAGAGAGTAGATGATAGGGGGTCAAATGTTTTTCCAAGCTGGCAAATTATTTACAATGTTTCAGGTTTTGCTCTGTTGATACATATAGGCAATTTTTTGGTTCACTCAGGTAATTAAAACATTGCAAGGGATTTTCTGAAAATAGTGACATAATTACCAAGCATGGTCCACGCAATAACGTTTTTGCTCTCAGCACATGTTGCCGCTTCAAGGAAAGTCTCGGCTTCTTCGTACTTCGCATTCATCAGAGAGATGCAGCCATACATCAGAAGACTGGGGAGAGAAAAAACTAGATCGGTCATGAGAGGACTGAAACGGCCAAACCATCTCTGGCATTCTCATGGTTAGTAGAGAAAAAAAAAATTATATCCAACTTACCCTGGTACATGTTTCTGCGCAATAGCTACTGTTTCCTTGAAACACTCTTCGGCCTACAGAAAAAGACACATGCCTTAAGTAATTCCTTAGCAATATTTGAGAGATATACTAAGTTTCCAAAAACCTCAATACACCCTTTCTCTCTCCATAAACCATCCATTGTCCTTTCTTGTAAGTTGCTGGAATCAGTTTTGCAAGGCTCCGACTAGTTATATCCAGAACATTCAAAAACCAGCTTTCCCTCTTTCCAATCGAACGATTCTTACACGCGTGTTGACAAAAGGATTGGAGCTTGAAATGGTGGTCGTGGAATAGCAAACGTCCTTATCATACTAATGTCATGGGGAATCCCGTTAAACAGTTTCGGATGACGATCTCGCAAAAATTCTCGATTCACTTTCTCTCAACTTCAGGATTTTTACTCTTGGGATAAGGCTTCACTGCTGAGTGAATTTATTTCAACCAATTCAATCAAGCCATTTTAAAATTCAAGCAAAACATTTCGTAATTCACGAGCCACTACAAAACCTGACGCGCGAACATAACCACCGTTAAAATTCTTACCTTGCCAAAGTCGCCGATAAGCAAACAAAACGCTCCATAATCAAACCAGTGATCAGGATCGTTCTTGTTACGAGACAAACGCTGTTAAAAGAGGAAATACATCTAAATAAGCAATGGTTTCCATGAAATGTGTTATTGATGGTAGTTTAAAGCGGTTAGGTGGCCTTGAAAGCCCGAAGAGTCTCTTGTTCCCAAGGAAGTTCGGGCTCCCGTAGGAAACTTTGAGGATCTGGACTTTTCCAATTGCATTTTGTATGTTATCAGTCTTTTACGTATAGATAATTGTTTGAATATACAAGTGCGATAATTACAAGTGCCTAGTAAACAACATTCTATTCTTCCACCTCGGAGAGAGCCTTGCGTACACAAAGTTTGAAGTTGTGTACTTTTAGTAGCTTTTTGGGCCCCAAAAATCAACAGAGAACAACTATACTGTACCAAAAAAATTTTTTAAAGACATCTCTGTAATGGTAAGTATACACCAGTGACATGTATGAATGATGCATCTCTAGCCGATGAGGCCTGATTGTAAACGTGCATTGCTGCATATAGATGGGTTTTTATCCTAGCGCTACCCAGAGTCAACTCATATGATTTAGGGGTACAATGTTATTAGTGGAAAAGTTAGAAGCAGGTAGGATCTACCCACATCTCAGCTGCTGTAAAAACCCCTGAAAAAAAAGGTAAATAGTACCATAAAAATCTTAAAAAAAAAAAAAAAAAAA